GACCAATCGGCGACACGCTAATACACTGTGGCTGTTTGTTGACAATTACACAATATGGCGACAAATTCAATAAATTTTCGCCGATAAAATGATTAAAGACACATGAATATACATAATTGCTGCGGTGTTTTGGCGAGTAAAGATAAACAATGCCAAACGTCTTAAAGGTGTGGTTATGTTTGAAACCTCGATTGTTAATTTTTTTCGGAGCACTTATCTAGAAATTATGTGGAGATTTGTATCTAATGTTTTATTAATACATTGAACTCCGTAAAGTAAACAGGTTGATTATACAAAATTAAATGTCTCTACAGTAACATCTCATTAGTAAAATTGAAATTAAACATTTTTTTACAAACAGATTTATTAATATAAATTACATTTTAATGAATATGTAACTTTTAGATACTAATGTTATGGTGTAGTTTATAATCTTAACCAATTATACATGCAATTTTAACTTTAACCCTTAGTATGGTACTATCCTGCTTTTCAACAAAATATTGGTATGATATGTTCATATATCCGAATTATATAGAGACTGTCCACAGTGACTCCCTGTCTATAATGACCTTTTTTCTTTTCTCCCATCGAAGGTCACTGTAAACAGTCTTTACTGTATAACTTTATTATGCCCCCATTTCGAAGAAAAGGGGGTATATTGCTTTGCACTTGTCGGTCCGTCGGTCCGTCGGTCCGTTGGTCCGTCGGTCCGTCGGTCCGTCGGTCCGTAGACCAAATGGTTTCCGAGTGATAACTAAAGAACCCTTAGGCCTAGGAACTTCAAACTTGGTATGGTGATTGGTCATGACCAGTAGATGACCCCTATTGATTTTGGGGTCAAGGGGTCAAAGGTCAAGGTCACATTGACCTTGTAAGCAAAAACGGTTTCCGATCAATAACTAAAGAACCTTAAGGCCTAGAAACTTCAAACTTGGTATGGTGATTGGTCATAAACAGTAGATGACCCCTATTGATTTTGGGGTCAAGGGGTCAAAGGTCAAGGTCACATTGACCTTGTAAACAAAAACGGTTTCTGATCAATAACTAAAGAACCTTAAGGCCTAGGAACTTCAAACTTGGTATGGTGATTGGTCATGATCAGTAAATGATCCCTATTGATTTTGGGGTCAAGGGGTCAAAGGTCAAGGTCACATTGACCTTGTAAGCAAAAACGCGTTCCCATCAATAACTAAAGAACTTTAAGGCCTAGGAACTTCAAACTTGGTATGGTGATTGGTCATGATCAGTAGATGACCCCTATTGATTTTGGGGTTAAGTGGTCAAAGGTCAAGGTCATATTGACATTGTAAGCAATAACGGTTTCCGATCAATAACTAAAGAACTTTAAGGCCTAGGAACTTCAAACTTGGTATGGTGATTGGTCATGATCAGTAGATGACCCCTTTTGATTTTGGGGTCAAGGGGTCAAAGGTCAAGGTCACATTGACCTCTTGGGTAAAACGGTTTATGGTCAATAACAAAAGAACCCTTAGGCCTAGGAACTTCAAACTTGGTATGGTGATTGGTCATGACCAGCAGATGACCCCTATTGATTTTGGGGTTAAGGAGTCAAAGGTCAAGGTCACATTGACATTGTAGGTAAAAACGATTTCCGATCAATAACTAAAGAACCCTACGGCCTAGGAACTTCAAACTTGGTATGGTGATTGGTCATGACCAGCAGATGACCCCTATTGATTTTGGGGTTAAGGGGTCAAAGGTCAAGGTCACATTGACTTTGTAGGTAAAAACGGTTTCCGATCAATAACGAAAGAACCCTTAGGCCTAAGGACTTCAAACTTAATATGGTGATTGATCATGATCAGTAGATGACCTCTATTGAATTTGGGGTCAAGGGGTCAAAGGTCAAGGTCACATTGACCTCTTAGGTAAAAACGGTTTCCGATCAATAACTAAAGAACCCTTAGGTCTAGGAACTTCAAATTTGGTATGGTGATTGGTCATGACCAGTAGATGACCCCTATTGATATTGGGGTTAAGGGGTCAAAGGGCAAGGTCACATTGACCTTGTAGGTAAAAATGCTTTCAAATCAATAACTTAAGAACCTTTGGCCTAGGAACTTCAAACATGGTATGGTGATTGGTCATGACCAGCAGATGACCTATTGATTTTGGGGTCAAGGGGTCAAAGGTCAAGGTCACATTGAGGTTGTATGTTAAAACAGTTTCCGATCAATTAACTAAAAACGCTTAGGCCTAGGAACTTCAAACTTTGTATGATGATTGGTCGTGACCAGCAGATGACCCCTATTGAGTTTTGGGTCAAGGGGTCAAAGGTTAAGGTCATGACCAGTAGATACTTGATAACCCTTATTAATTGTTTGATCACTGGGTCAGAAGTCATGCATAATAACCTTATCACATGACTAATTGGCTGCTGATAGGGGGCATACATGTTTTACAAACATGAGATTATCATAATGTCAGGTTTAAAATACTGTATTGTTTTATGCAAGAAAACAGTAATTTTATAACGTTAATAATACAAAATATAAAGAAAAAAGCATAAGCAATTTAAGAGTATGTTGAGTATATACAGAATTTATTTTAGTTAGATTTTGTAGAAAGCTAAAAACTTTTAGACATGCTTTTGAATTCCTTCCTGGAACCAATCAGTTCTGAGCAGTGAGTGTCAAGTTTTTTGCTCAAGGAAACATTGGCTTGCCCTTGATGGGCTTGTCTGATGTAGCCTAGGCTGACATAGGCTTGTCTGATGTAGACAAGTCTGACATATGCTTGTCTGATGTAGCCAAGTCTGACATAGGCTTGTCTGATGTAGCCAAGTCTGACATATGCTTGTCTGATGTATCCAATTCTGACATGAGCCTGTCTGATGTAGCCAAGTCTGACATAAGCTTGTCTGATGTAGCTAAGTCTGACATAAGCTTGTCTGATGTAGCCATGTCGGACATAGGCTTGTCTGATGTAGCCAATTCTGACATGAGCCTGTCTGATGTAGCCAAGTCTGACATAAGCTTGTCTGATGTAGCCAAGTCTGACATAAGCTTGTCTGATGTAGCCAAGTCTGACATAAGCTTGTCTGATGTAGCCAAGTCTGACATAAGCTTGTCTGATGTAGCCAAGTCTGACATAAGCTTGTCTGATGTAGCCAAGTCTGACATAAGCTTGTCTGATGTAGCCAAGTCTGACATAAGCCTGTCTGATGTAGCCAAGTCTGACATAAGCTTGTCTGATGTAGCCAAGTCTGACATAAGCCTGTCTGATGTAGCTAAGTCTGACATAAGCTTGTCTGATCTAGCTAAGTCTGACATAAGCTTGTCTGATGTATCCAAGTCTGACATAGACTTGTCTGATCTAGCTAAGTCTGGCATAGGCTTGTCTGATCTAGCTAAGTCTGACATAAGCTTGTCTGATGTATCCAAGTCTGGCATAAGCTTGTCTGATGTAGCCAAGTCTGACATAGGCTTGTCTGATGTAGCCAAGTCTGACATAGGCTTGTCTGATGTAGCCAAGTCTGACATAAGCTTGTCTGATGTAGCTAAGTTTGACATAAGCTTGTCTGATGTATCCAAGTCTGGCATAAGCTTGTCTGATGTATCCAAGTCTGACATAGGCTTGTCTGATGTAGCCAAGTCTGACATAAGCTTGTCTGATGTAGCCAAGTCTGACATAAGCTTGTCTGATGTAGCCAAGTTTGACAAAGGCCTGTCTGATGTATTCAATTCTGACATGAGCCTGTATGATGTAGCCAAGTCTGACATAAGCTTGTCTGATGTAGCCAAGTCTGACATAAGCTTGTCTGATGTAGGTTAGTTTGACATAAGCTTGTCTTATGTAGCCAAGTCTGACATAAGCTTGTCTGATGTAGCCAAGTCTGACATAAGCCTGTCTGATGTAGCCTAGTCTGACAAAGGCCTGTCTGATGTATCCAATTCTGACATGAGCCTGTCTGATGTAGCCAAGTCTGACATAAGCTTGTCTGATGTAGCCAAGTCTGACATAAGCCTGTCTGATGTAGCCAAGTCTGACAAAGGCCTGTCTGATGTAGCCAAGTCTGACAAAGGCCTGTCTGATGTATCCAATTCTGACATGAGCCTGTCTGATGTAGCCAAGTCTGACATAAGCTTGTCTGATGTAGCCAAGTCTGACATAGGCTTGTCTGATGTAGCTAAGTCTGACATGAGCCTGTCTGATGTATCCAATTTCTGACATGAGCCTGTCTGATGTAGCTAAGTCTGACATAAGCTTGTCTGATGTAGCCAAGTCTGACATGAGCCTGTCTGATGTAGCTAAGTCTGACATAAGCTTGTCTGATGTAGCCAAGTCTGACATGAGCCTGTCTGATGTATCCAATTCTGACATATGCTTGTCTGATGTAGCCAAGTCTGACATGAGCCTGTCTGATGTATCCAATTCTGACATAAGCTTGTCTGATGTAGCCAAGTCTGACCTACGCTTGTCTGATGTAGCCAAGTCTGACATGAGCCTGTCTGATGTAGCCAAGTCTGACATAAGCCTGTCTGATGTAGCCAAGTCTGACAAAGGCCTGTCTGATGTATCCAATTCTGACATGAGCCTGTCTGATGTAGCCAAGTCTGACATAAGCTTGTCTGATGTAGCCAAGTCTGACATAGGCTTGTCTGATGTAGCTAAGTCTGACATGAGCCTGTCTGATGTATCCAAGTCTGACCTAAGCTTGTCTGATGTAGCCAAGTCTGACATGAGCCTGTCTGATGTAGCCAAGTCTGACATAGACTTGTCTGATGTATCCAAGTCTGACATACACTTGTCTGAGGTAGCTAAGTTTGGCATAAGCTTATCTAATGTAGCCAAGGCTGACATAAGCCTGTCTGATGTAGCCAAGCAAATCAGCAATCACTCTTAAATAAGATAAAATCTTTAACTATCAGTTGTAAGTAAAATATTCAAAAATAGAAATATGGAAGAACAATTTTGATAATTTTTCCATAGCATTTTTATGTGAAAAAAAAAATGTTGATATTCTATTACAGCCATTTCTGTCTAAAAGATAGATATTCATATCATGATTTTTGAGCAAGTTATTTGATACTCTGGTACTGCTGAATATATAATCCCATGATACATTGCTGTAAATGATATATTTTCCTTTCACAGACATGTTTTCATGAGTTATTGCAAGCAAAAGATGTGAATAACGCCCACAAAATGTCAGCTTACAGTGTAGACAGGAAAAATACATATTTTACAATTCTGGCAAAATGTAAGTTCTAATTTTATTATAGAGCCATAACTCTTACTTTTTTCAGTGAAGAATTACTTCCCTTGTCAGGAAGTCTGGATTATAAGAGCTCATTTCACACACTTGCAAGGAGAAAAAAAAACATAATTTATTGTGACGTAAAGATGAATTTTATGTAATAAATGAAAAGTGTATGCCAGTACTGAATACACAAATAATTCAGCGGGATGTCTTTTTTGTTTTGACAAATCTAATATAAACGGTATGAAGCTGCTGGAGAACGAGGAGATGTGAGATGACATATGTTTGGTTTTATCTAATCAGGTTAAGAATTGATGTGTTCCGAAACTGTAGACTAAATAATGTCTTATTTCACCATTTGTCTGTCCAATCATAAAATTGTAAAATACGATTTTCTTCTTCATGAGTTGAGACAGAAGTTTTCTGTTTTGCAGACTTTCCAATCATATCAATTGCAGTAGAAAATTTTCTGAAAACTCCATTTGTTTTCTTTTATCAAGTGAAATGATAAAATTCCAGCTATTTACAGAAGTGGTATATTTTAAATACAGTACAAAACTAAAATTTGAATGAAAAATGAGTGAAATAAAGAGATTAATTTAAGAACCTGATATTTACAGTGGAATTTCTACAGAGCAGCTTTCCAAAGAGCACTTTAACAGTTGTAATACCAGGGGCAGTATCCTAAAAGCAATATTTTTAGGAGCTATGCCCCTTTTTGCGACGGACGCGCCCTCAGGCGCGTTCAGAGCTAAGTCATCTACACATGGGATTTCGTTGGCTACACTCGCGCAATGTGTCCTAAACCAATTAACAGCACAAGAAATAGTACATAAATTTGATCCTTCAAAACTCCCATACTTTGTCTGGATATCTTAATGTCTTCCATATTTAGCCTTTTCAATTTCAAATTAAGATTTTCCAAGTTAAAATATGAACGTATATTATTGATAAAAACGTTGTAGTCCCGTAGTATTAATGCGCAATATGCAAATTACTGCTGAAACGATTTACCGCTGTCGAAAAAGTAGGACAGCAAAATATACTTCAATAAAGGTGTAACCTCTGAGTTCCAAGACATTATTAGTAGGAAATAAATATTTTTACATTATACTAAACATTATTATTAACAAATCAAAAGTTTTTCGTGACTAGGATAATCGCGCATTTATAAAAGAAGAACTATTTTCGTGACTCATACCGCGGGTTTAGCTGAATATTCAGCAGTTATTAATACATTAATTAGATACAGTACAATGGCTAGTATAAATATCTATTTTTGAAAATGCATGTAAGACACTTTACCGCCATGTAGTCTTTCATGGTAAGGAAGTTATAATATCAGTTCTACATCCGATTCTTGTGGTTTGTTTACATATTTTACTAGGTCATGATATGAGTTAACCTTCGCTATTCTAAAAATAGATTCTGCTTCACCTGTTCTGATTTTTGGACAGGCGATTATAGGAAGTACACATTAAACATGTAATTAATAAACCAGCGGATTGTAATGCAATACTTTTAGAAATGCTATACAATTGTAAGAAGCAAACAAGTTGAAAATGGAATTTAGTGTGAAGTTGAAAAGGACAACTAAACACTGTAGTGCTTAAGTGACATTTAAATTAAAATAAAAACGATGTGCTCTGGCCTCTACATCTTTACCTTGTAAATAAAAATAATCTAAGAAATACACTATTAATTGCTGATGATTTTAACCAATTTTTTTTAATGAGACATATCCAAGAGAAATAAAAATACAAATGACTTATATTTTATTGTCTGTATGCCCACTATGATATAACACGAAGCAATTCTAAATAGCATTCTCAAATGTATAATGTATTATGTTTGAAGTTTATTTGCCTCGATTTATTCTAGAAATATTTCGTTGATAGTTTTTTTTCTATTTACATATCATTTCTTAGAATAAATCGATAAGGACACTGATTTACAAGTTTGACCAGAGTTTTTAGGCATAAATTGCATTCTGTATTTAAGTGCTTGAAAGTAGAAAATCTGAATTATATCAATTTGGAACACAAAATATATTGCTGTACAAATCTCGAACTTGTATGAAACAAATTTTCTCTGTTATATATTTTGTGTTTGTTTTGTTTTGTTTTTTTTAAAAGAAGCCTTAATTAATGTCTCTCCGGTTGCATGTCCGTCGCATTCAGTGCTGCAGCACTTTGATTAATCGGTAGTTGTTGCGCTTAACACACCAGCAGTAACATGACTTGCAGTGCTTTATTGTCATTTGATTGGTTGTTAGTTCCAAGGTGATATTAAAATCAGAAATATAACTATATGATGGCTTGCATGCATGCTCATTCGGGTCTTAATCCTTGATTAACATGACTGTGTGGTGTATTAGTTTAAATTGTAATATGCAAATGGTTGAAAATGAATATCATTTTCTTTTGATTTGTAAATGAGAAATAAATATCAAAAACTTTACTGGTCATTAAAAAAATTTTTTAATTTATTATCAACAGAATTAATTGGTTTAAGCAAATATGTTTATTTTGCAATAGAAATGGAATTTAGTTTCATCCTGCTATCCTTTTTTATTTGTATTTGAACATTATATTATTATTTCATGTTTATAGCTATAATGTTGTCTAATAAAATGTTATTATAATTATGATATCAAATTGGTATATATATATTTTGTATGGATTAAAACATTTTAATTATATATCTTTCAGGCATGAGAAAACGTTAAATAAATATAACCGAATGAGAGTTGCTATACCTGGAGCAAACTTGACAATTTAAGGAACGTACACCAAAATGTTTGTTCACAAGATGAAAGAAATTGGGATCACATGAGGTACATAATAATAAACTATATAGAATTTGCTATTTGTATAAATTAAGTAAGTCATTTAAGAAGTGATACACCAATTTCGTTTATATAGAATTTATGTTAGTTTGTGTTGAAGAAATACTAGCCAGTTGAACAAGCCTGAGTAACTTATTAGTAATGAGTTCAAAGAAAGGATGGCTAATCCTACAATTTTGTATGTCAAAATAACTAGAATACATACTATTTTGTATATTAAAGCTAAACCAAATTAAACAATGTATATTTTGCATATATATTGCACTAAAGTTACAAAATAAAAATTGCAATAAGTAATTTGTATTATCTATGTTGCAACATTTAAGTTTTGTATGTTACTATGGAAAAGTTTCAATCCATGATTGGTATAAATAGCATATAATTTGTTCCAATTATTAATTGGATCAGGAAATGTGGTTCCCAATTTTCTCCACACAATCTTATCTATATGGACAAATTGATGTTTTTCATGGTCAGTGTGATCTGAGAGTATGCAGTGACAGGAAAGTGGTTTATAGGGGGCTCAATCTCTGCTAATGGCCCCTTATCTTTGACCAGGACAAGTTCACTGCAGGGGTTAATAGGGTGTGGAAACTTTGCACTCTTTAGAATTCTACATTAAAAGACGTGGCAGTGGTATAATGGAATTTGCAGCTTGTAAAGTGCCTACAAACTTAGGTAAGTGGTGCCTTTTATTCTTTTCTTTATGTTACCATTTGATGAACCAGATAGGTTAGAAACTAATAGATATTAATAATAATTAAAATATTGTTTATATTTATCTGGTGTTGACTGTGGTTTCTTTGTATTCTTCTTATTCAGCCAGTTTTTCAGAAATACTTGTTAAAGGCCCATTAAGCTACACAAAAGCAATTATTTTTATTTTCAAAAACTTTTTTTGATATTTTGTATTCTGTTACAAGTCTCCAGAAAGCTACTTGTTGGCTATATGACTGGACTGTTTGGGGAGGGGGGGGGGGGGTGGGGTGTTATTTTTATTTGGGGAGGGGGTGTAATTTTTGTTTGGTGAGGGGGCTGTTATTTTTGTTTGGGGAGGGGGTGTTATTTTTGTTTGGGGAGGGGGTAGGGGTGTTATTTTTTTGGGGGGAGGGGGGTGGGTGTGTTTGGGGATAGAGGTTGGGGTGTTATTTTTGTTTGGGGAGGGGGTGTTATTTTTGTTTGGGGAGGGGGGTAGGGGTGTTATTTTTTTTGGGGGGAGGGGGTGGGTGTGTTTGGGGAGGGGAGGTTGGGGTGTTATTTTTGTTTTGGGAGGGGGTGTTATTTTTGTTTGGGGAGGGGGGGGTGTTATATATACAGTGATGGTGATTTTTGGTACTTTGGATGAAAGTCAAAATACTAAATTGTTTACAATTTGTTACCTTTAAGAACAATTGCTTTTCATTCAGCAATATTTTTTCAGTTGACAATCACTTAACATGTTTTAAAGCATTATCAAGACTTAATGAAAACTTAATGTTTGCTCTTTATATAGAAAAAATTTGTACACATATTTCTGGGGCATAGTGTGCCTTTAAGTTATTTAGAATTATTAGTTAATAATTATAATGACACTATTTACACTTCTCATCAATGGGGTTTCAACATGCTATAATGTTTTTTAACTCTTCGGTCAGTTTATAGTATTTAAATGCATATAGTGTTCAATATTTTTATAGCCCCACGCAACAAATTGTGCACCAGGGCTTTTCAATATATAGACGATGGTCACCCTTCGTAAAGACTGACAACTACGTAATTGGTTGTTCTTCCAGTTTAAACATTGAGACTAATATATGCTTTTCAAAGGAAGTTCAGGCAAGGTGTTGAGAGGGGGGAAGGAACATTGTAATGTAATGAGAGACAAGGCATGTATTGAAATAATCGAAACTAACAATTCTTTGAAAGTTAAAATTTCAAAGCATGACTATTTCATTTCATAAATGCAGTGGTGTAAAGATTTGGAAATTTCTGACTGTAAACTTAAACAGAAAATGTACACTGAAATCAATTTTGCACTAGATTTGCACCATACGTTTGAAACATGCCCCATATGTTTCAGTACTTGTTGATATCTAATCCAATTTGTTTCAGTTGTCTTCAAAAATCTCAGAAGATTATTTGAGGTAATATTAAATTCCAGTTACTTCATTTCCTTGGTAATATAATTTGATGTGATTTATAGCCTCTTGTCATGAAAGAAATTCTTGTAAGATCACAGTGAACATGTAGAGCATTTATCTGTACAGTTATGGTCTTTTATAATATTATAAAACACAGAAAAAAAGACATCAAATCCAAGGTCTCGTTATATTTCAATGTTCTGATCACATTTCGCACACATTTTTAGCTAGACATTTTTTTAAAGACAAAAAAAAGAGGTATTTTAACAGTCATGTCATGTTCCTGTTGCCTTTGCCGTTCACCCAAACTTTAACATAGATAACTTGTATTGTCTTCATACTTGGCCACACCAACCTGGGACAAAAGCCTCAAGTAGACCAGACTAAATTTGGCTTTCATTCATAAATGAAATGTGTGGGATAGTTGCTTTAAACTGATTTCTTTCATTCCATACAAAACCAATTATCATTTATCGGGAAAATATGAACCTATTGAATAGCAAACAATTACCATACATTATGATCAGACAAGACAACTATCTGTGCTGACTGTTTTTTGGTCTGCAGTGGTCGCATGGGTAGTAGCCCAACAAATGATCCACCAGGCCTTTCTATTATATATATGACGGTCACCCTTAAAATCCGACATCTATGTAATATCAATTTGTAAAATCCGTCAGTCTTGCAGTCAAAATATTGTGACTACATGGGTATATGAAGTTGCCACCAACAGGTGTAAGGTTTCTTAACATTAAAAATCTTGTAATGTGGCGATCCCTTGGAAGCAATCACATACATGCCAAAACCTCCTGGACATCTGGAGCTGTCCCAGAAATCAGATGTCTGCAATAAAATCAACAAGATTATTATTCATATGAAAATTTTGGACTTGGTTTGATATTCAGAAGTTAATGTAAAAGTACAACATCTCCTACACCCTCTCTTGTAAGTCACACAACTTAGAGTGTACTTGAAGAACATTTGTTTAAAATTTACTCATAGCGTTACTTTCATTGGTCATCAGGGACCTGCCTCTTTCAGAAAAATAGTTATAATTTACCATTTTTGACCTATTTTTATCATTTAATGGAAACCCAGTGTTTTTGTATTGATCTTTGGGTCATTGAGGAAGAGGTTTTAGCTGGAGATGACACCTTGTCAGCTTTAATATGTACAAGGTGATGATGACTTAAATACTTAAAGCATTCCTAACTAATGTAAGTGATCTACTCCCTCCAGTTCTCATCACCATTCAGGAAACTTTCAGAGCTTGGCATTTGTACTTGTTTACTTTTCCTGTATTTGATAGTGATCGGTGGTTTTTCTTGAATGGTTTTTCTTGAATGGTCGCTGGTCAATCAGTAATTTGAGTTTGCTATAGAAATAAAAGTTTTTTTTGTGTGAAGAGTAATATTGTTCATTGAGCATGACGTTAATGTTAAAGGTATCGATATCAGACATTAATGCTATTTTATAAGATAAGAATATTTGAATATTTTTCAAAGTTCATTAAATAATGATACATTTCATTATTGATGCCCCTTTAAAATAAAAAATAAATAAGATGGTTTGATTTATCACCTTTGGTAGATTTCATCAGTAGTAAAGTGTATAAAGCTATTTATTATACACTTATAAATTCCAACAATTATAAATACACCAAAATCATGAAGCACTAATACAATTCAACAGATAGAAAAAGTGCCAGACTTTTTTTCTAAGTTGGTTCCCATCTTAGCCGTGCTTTATGTAGCATCTCAAAACGGGTACCAATACTACTTTGGGCTTGGGCTCTTTTGCATAAAATACTGTGTATGTATTCCTCTGTCATTCATGAAATTTATTTCTTGATAGCTATATTTTTGTTTCTGAAATAACTGAAAAATAGAAGTTCTGTAAATTGAAACTCTTTTTGCTTTAAAATGTTTAGGTATAATTATAATTAAAGGAAAATAATGTTGTAGTAGCTCTCTGAGGGCATGTATTTTGCTACTCCCAGCGTGGTAGTAGCTCTCTGAGGGCATGTATTTTGCTACTCCCAGCGTGGGAAATTGATATCCAACTCAACCTTAGTTCTTGCAATTTTAAGATATCAATTTTCCAACTGTGCCGATAGCAAAATACAATATCTCAGAGAGCTTCTACAGCATAATATTCTGTATATTTATCTGATGCCTGTAGTTTACAAAATTATTATATGAATTTTTTAAAGGAATAATTCAAAAGTACCTATAATTATGAAAGAAATATGTTGGTATAATATTATATCATAAGGAGCCAATTGTGCATGCACATGGATAAAATCTCGAATGATATTTTGTCAGTACATTTTTATTGTTATGCCCCCACAATGTGGGAGCATATAGCGTTGCACTTGTCCGTCCGTCCGTCCGTCCGTCAGTCCGTCCGTCAGTCAGTCCATCCGTCAGTCCGTACGTCCCGAAATCTTGTGAACGCAACTCCTCTTAAACCGGATGGCAGATTTTGCTTAAACTTACAGGGATGAACAACCTAAATGTGTAGATGGTAGTAAAGGAAGGAATTTTTGCTGCGACCAAATTTAACAGAATTATGGCCCTTTGTTGATTTTTTCACTATATACTATATAGAAATTTTGTGAACGCAACTCCTCTTAAACGGGATGGCAGATTTTGCTTAAACTTACAGGGATAAACAACCTTCAGGTGTAGATGGTAGTAAAGGAAGGAATTTTTGCTGCGACCAAATTTTACAGAATTATGGCCCTTTGTTGATTTTTTCACTATATACTATGTAGAAATTTTGTGAATGCAACTCCTCTTAAACCGGATGGCAGATTTTGCTTAAACTTCCAGGGATGAACAACCTTAATGTGTAGATGGCAGTAAAGAAAGGAATTTTTGCTGCAACCAAATTTTCAGAATTATGGCCCTTTGTTGATTTTTAGTTTTCAACTTGTGGCACATGTAGTCCAAAAAATATTTGACCTAGAGTCATAAGATTGACAGAACAGTGGCGTGTGGGGGCATCCGTGTCCTATGGACACATTTCTAGTTTTAACATGCAATATTTGTGTGTGTTAAATAATAGAGACATTATACAACTCTTTTTGTGATTCCAGCATTCGGTAAAGAAACAAAATAATTTTACTATTTATAAATTTTATACAGAAAATTATTTTTTTTGTGGCCCCTTCTGGGTAACCTAATTATAGATATAGAGTTAAACACTTTTCAATTTTAGTTGATTAAATCTTTAAATGCTAGTAATAATTACTTTCATAATTATGCTACTTATAGCATATGTCCATTTTGAAATATTGTTTGTTTAGTCAATATAATTATAACATTGGCACAGGGAACTTAGTGGGGACTTAGATTATCAAATCCTTAGTCAAACCCTTCCCATCTCTTCATCCCCATCACTGTTGTGGTCAGTTTTATAAAATAAATACCCTGCTGCATGCCCCAGCACTACACAAAACCTCTGAATTGACTGGACAGTGCAGGGACAGGTAGTAGGTAAAACCTGGCTCATTTTCCCAACTTTTGACCCCCAGCATGGTTTCGGTTAAAGGCA